CATAGGGGTTTTTTTTTTGTTTTGTTGAGATTTCCTATCCTTTCATAAATTGGAGCATATTTCCTTTAACTCACTGAACACAGTAAAGTGATGGCTAATTCCAGCATCTGGGTCATCTTGTGATTGGTCTTTGTTAATTATCTTTTCTCTTGAGAGTAGGTCACATTTTCCTGATTCTTGGTATGCTGAGTAATTTTGGATTATGTGCTATGATGAATGTTATTTTGTAGAGATTCTGAATTCTGTTATATTCCTCCAAAGAGGGATTTTTTTTTTCAAGCAAGCAATTAACTTACACTGAAAACTGAAAGCTCAAATCTCAGTTTGGTTGTGCTGTAATGTGTTTTGAACATAGGTGTCCCTCCAAAAATCATACATTGGAACTTAAACCTAAAGGGGATGTTCTTGGGAAGTGGGGCCTTTGTGGAAATGATGAAGTCTGGAGCCCTCATGAATGGATTAATGCTCTTTTCAAAGAGGCTTCAGAGAGGATTCACCCTTTTTTGCCCTTCTGCTCTGTGAGGAAAAGGCATCTTCTTGGAAGCAGAGGCCGAGCCCTCACTAGACACTGAACCTACTGGTGATTTGTTCTTAGATTTCTAGCCTCCAGAACTGTGAGAAATAAATTTCTCTTCTTTAGGAATTATCCATCTTGGGTATTTTGTTATAGCAGCAAAAACAGACTCACATAGGTTGTTTTATCCTAAATCAGGCTGTTTGCACTTCGCCCCATGCATGTGTGTCTTAGGAGTCAGCCAGAGATTTGGACAGTCTGTGCACAGAATTTGGGACTCCCCCTCTCCTGCGGTAGCAAGGGAGCTGTGCTACTCAGATACCCAGGTGCAGGGCACCAGGATCACCGGCTCCAGAGAACATGACTGACAGACAGCCTTAGCTGCCACACCTTTGGATCCACTGTGACATTCCTGCCAAGACCGCTGTTGCCATTCCGTCCAGATGCAATATTTCTGTAATGGTGACTTTTGTTTGAGGACTTCCCACTGGCTGGAGTGAGACTTTTTCTGACGAGCTCTGCAGTCTGAAGCCCCTTTTACCAATCCTTACTTCTCTTTCCCCTTTTGCTGGTGCCAGACCTGCAGCAGCACCTGCCTACTTCTGTTCCTTCCTGCCCCTCCTCCTTGACCACATGGCCTTGTGGGTTCTAAGATTGGTGTGTAGGTTCTCAGAGTTGGGAATCTGGTCTGGGGACAAATAGTAATACGGAGCGGAATGCCTCTACCATGGCCATGTATTTATGGCATCTGTCCTGAAGGTCATTCACAAATATGGTGGGCAATTCTCAGAGGGATGCTGGGAAGTCTGGAGCAGTAAGGGGCTGTGCTCACTCCAACAGTCAAGTTTTCTCAGAGTGATTTGTGGACTCGAGAACACATGCACACCTTCTTCTAGGCCATGTTAGCCCTGGTAGCAAGAAGCGTTTTACCCAGACATTGAGCTGCGGGCCTACCACATCAGGAGCACCTTCCAGAAGCACTGGAGACCCTGTTGACGTGATTCTGAAGCCAGGGCTAGGGGGTTGTGAGTTGGGCATGTGAGTAGGAGGGGGTAAGGGGTCACCATGCCCAAGCTTAGAGCTGGCTCTGCTTCTCGGGCCTGGGGAAAGAGAATGCATTTTTGTAAGTCATGTTAAGAGCACTGTCTTAGGAGAAAACAAGCCCCCAGCCCCCCAAGACGATGCCTGGTATCTGCCAGTGAGGTGCCCTGCCAGGAGGGAGATGAGGGAGCAGCTGAATGCTCATGCCTGATGCCAGCCCTGGACCAGCCTGGGGCACAGAAATAAATAAGGTGGGTCCGCTGTCCTTCCAGGGGCTCCCCTCCCAAGGGAGAAACTGCAAGGGAGGGCAACAACAGAGGTTCAGACAAAGCCCTGGGGAGAGACAAACTGTATCTGGTTTGGCACCTTCCCAGAGGCAGCGGCAACTGGAATGTGTTCTGAAGAAAGAGTAGGAGCTGCATGGTAGAAGAAGAGGGAAACAGCACCTTCTTTCCAGATTGGGTGGGGAGGCTTTTGCCCAGAGGAAATCACAGTGATTATGGGGTTTTGCCAACACGTGTGTGCGTGCTGGGGGGCGGGGGCAGTGAGCTATTTGGGGTGATTGGCGCATAGCATGTGGAATGAGACCTGTTTCAAATGAACCTTTTTACTTTTATGACAACCAATTCTTAATTCACTCAGTAAGAATTTATTTGGGTATCTGCTACATTTAAGAAATTGGACTAGGCATAAATAGGACAGAAAATAATCACCCCGGGTCTCCAGCAAGAACAAGCGTCTACCAGTGGTCCTGACTGGTGCTGCTGCCCGGCGCGGAAGGGCTGAGCTGCGTGCGGGGAGGAGGCTGCGCGCTCTGCTCTGAACAGGAGGGGTCGCTGCAGGGTTTATACACTTTGACCAAACTATGGGATTCCCTAAAGACTGAGGGGTAAACAGGGAAAGTGCGCTGCCAGGAGGCCTGACCAGAGAGCCTGCCTGCCGGGGGGCCGGAGTCCATGGGGCTGGCGCAGCCGCCTTCCCAGGGTGGGACTGGCGCGGGTGCGCTCAGATGGCCACGCTGTTGGGAATCCGGTCTGGAGACAAATAGTAATATGGCAGCTTCTTGTTCTTGTTGCGCTCAGCGATCGTGCTGACGATAACCTCAAGGTTCTTGCGGAATCGAGCCATGGCCTCCTTCACAGGCTTCTCGATGAAATGCTCTTCTGGGTACATGCCCAGGAACAGCTGAGGGCCCAGGCGCGGACAGACAGGTTAACCTGCCGCCAATGTGAACTGACAGGCCTGTCCCGCCCCCAGGGGCCACCCCTTGGGAGGTCAGGGAGGAAGCATCTGTTCACCTCCCCATCTCCGCCCTCTGCTGCTGCCGAGCATGCGCCGAGAAGGCAGATGCCGCCTCCAACCTGCTTTCCCCGAGGAAAGTCTGGGCTTCGTGGATTAGTGGGGAAAATAACTGCCTGGCTGCCGAGTGGTCATGAGATGACGCAGGTGAATGTGGAGGCTGCTGGTGGTCCTAGCTTGGTGGGCATGTGGCCCTGGCGGCCTGGGTGGGCCACCCTATGCAGCACTCCCACTCGCCATCTGGGCTCCAGGCAGTGCCGCAGGGGCACGGGGAGGGCGGAGGCAGGCCTGGTGGGGGAGTCAGACGGGGTGGTTCTGGCAGGGTGGTGTGCTCATCTGCATACGCACGGACGTTTGCAAATGAAAGCCAGACGTCTTGTTTAAAAGCTACTCTACTGGATTGTTAAGACACAGTTTCAGCGCTGAAAAGATGTGAGATTTTGGATTTAGTGTGTGGAGGTCAATTGCCTCAATATTCTTTGACCAAGAAATTCCTCTACTAGGAGTGACACACATGCATGTCCAGGGAGGGACCAACACAACAACAAAGGCCCCGAAACAACTCAGATGCCCAACCCGTCTGAAGCTGGTGAAACTGGTGCCACCATTGCACGAACCACTGAGCTACTGCCAAGGGGTTGTGTCCGCCAAGATAACCAGATTTGGTGTTAGGTTAAATAAGGAGTATGAGTCTAGAAGGAACCCAAGAAGCTCTTAGTCGTTCCCTCTGGGGTGCTAGGGAGAAACCACATGGAAGAGCTTAGTCAATAGCTGGGGAAGGGGGTCACACGTCACCTTCGGTGACAATGGGTGGAGCAGAGCCTGTGTGCTCTCCTGTCCTGCCACCCTGAGCTGTGTCCAGGCTCGGGCCTGAGGACCTGGTGGCACAGGCAGCCCATTTGGGCCCCCCCAGCCTTGGAAGTCAGGATTCCTGGTCCCATGAGTCCAGCCTGGGCCCTGAGTCACAAAACCCTAAAGTTGAGGAATGGGTTAAACTTGGGGTGACCTGGGCTGTCCCCCACACTGCCCAGCCTCACCTCATTTTCCTGGAATTGGCTCAGCGCCCACACTGCACCCAGATGCCAGCAGGAGCGGCCGCGGTCGGGCAGCGTGTCCACGATGTGCTCTATGGTCACGACGCCCTTGGCCGTGGGCGGCGGGGCTCGCATGGTCGGGGGCGCGTTGGGGATCCAGGAGCACCAGTCGTACTGCGGGACGGCCACCGGCAAGCGTGGGCGCCCCTAGGCTCAGCTACCCGCCCACCCGCGGCCCGCCACGCCCACACCTGCCCGACTGGGGGCCGCCTGCTTGGGCGCCCCCGCCACCCCGCCGCGGGCTGGGCAATCGCCCCCATCGCCCCCGCCCGCAGCCGGCGCCCGGGGATCCTGTGGGAGCCAAGATGGCGGCGGCGCAGGGCGGGCGCAAGGGGCCCACCTGGCCGAAGTTCACCGCGGCGTGCTGGGCCGAAGCCGTGAAGATCACCACGGTCAGGTACTCGGACAGCTTCTCCCTGCTCTTGAGCGCCTTGGGGAAGCCTAGGGCGGAGCCGCGCGTGCGCTGAGGCCGCGCCCCGCCCCCGCCAGGGAGGCCCCGCCCCATTCCGCCAGAGAGGCCCCGCCCCTCTCCGCCGGGGAGGCCCCGCCCCGCCCCCCGCCAGGGAGGCCCCGCCCCATCCCGCCAGAGAGGCCCCGCCCCATCCCGCCGGGGAGGCCCCGCCCCGCCCCGCCAGGGAGGTCCCGAGACCACGCCCGTGGTCGGGGCAGGGGCGTCGCTGCTCCGAGAGCCCGCAGGAGGCAGCCGGTGGGCGGCGGGAGCCCGGGGCCCAGGGAGGGGCGGGAGCGCTGCCCTACCTGAGGCCTTCCTGCCCCGCATGCCGTACACGTAGACGTCCTTCACGAAGTCCTGCAGCTCCTGGTCCTCCTCCACCACCTGGTCACTCTCGTAGTAGATGTCCACCACCTCGGCCGTGAACCTGGCTCGGGGGCGGGGGCAGCCGGCAGTGGGTGACCCAGCCGGGCGTGCGGCGACCCTGCCACTTACTCCCACTGTCCGGGCTCGGGGCCTCCCCTCCCCCGCGCCCCCTGCCCATCAGCGCCTGACGGCGGAGCCCGCGCGGGTCTCACGTCTTGATGGCTTCCCACACCAGCAGCCCGTCGTCCCGGTAGAAGTAGTAGGGGATGTCTTCTTTGCTGTCCATGCCCCGGGCCTTGATGGCCTCGGGGAAGCACAGGGAGGCGTAGGTCAGGTCCTGCATGGCTCTCTGCACCATCTGCACGTGCCCGCCGCCCCCTGTGGCGTTGGCCTGGGGTGGGAGGGGAGTGCCCTGAGCCGAGACTCCTCCGGCCCTCCTGTCCAGCCCCTGAGCTCACCCCGCGTCCGTGCGAACCTGTGCAAGGCCAGTGGGGTGGCCAGGCACGCGGAGGGGCAAAGCCACGTCCTGTACATGGTGGGGCGGGGGGATGTTTCATGCAGAGAATGCCCAGGGCAGCCCGAGGAGCGCTTTACAGGGAGGAGCCTTGGCTGGATCCAACGCAAGGGCTCGAACCGCGAGACACAGCTGCAGCAGGGAGGCTGAGCTCCCGCCCCCAGGAGGGCAGCCAGGCAGCTGGTGGGCGTGTGGGGAGCTGCGGCACTGGTGGGCCTGGGCTTCTTCGGTGCTGTGCTAGGATGCCCAGTCCTTGCTCCTGGGGACCCGCAGGCCCCAGGATCCACGCAGCTCCTCTGAGGGCCTACTGTGTGCTTAGGTGAGGGCTGGAGTGACTCACAAGGAGGGGTTCTAGTCCTGGTCCCAGCAGCTCAGATGCAGACACACATGCTCACATATGTGTGCGCACACACAGACACATACACGCTTGGACACATCCAGGTGGCTGAGCAGTCAGGGACACAGAATTTTCAAAGAAGGACTTGGTGCTGGGTGCCAGAGATTGGTGGTCATTTGACCCAAGCGGGACCAGCTAGAGCTGCTCCTGGTACTTTTTGTTTGGATGTGGCCGGGGAGGTGACGGCCGCGAGGGAACATGAGCCTGGAGCTCTCTGTGACAAGGTTCCATCCCCACCCCATGTCTGCAGCAGGAGTGTGAGCCAGCAGGCATGAGCCCTGGTGCCCTGCCTGAGTCCCTGGATCCATTCTGGTCTGAGACCCCGCCCCCCATCCTGTCCAGGTTTATAACACAAGATGAGTCCTATCCAGTGTGAGCCGGTTTGAGTTGGGTTTTGTGATTTGCCTCCCAAACAGGGTCTCAACTTCAGTGATCGTCTGGCCTGGTCACTGACAGCTAGGGCAGGAGGAAGGTCAGGTGAGGGCTGGCGTGAGGGTCCAGGCTGGTAAGGCTGCAGGGGGCTCACGAGGTGGGTGCTGCCTGGGGGCCGGTGCGGCAGAGCGGGGAGGTTCAGAGTGGTGGGCAGGCCAGGGCAGGACCCAGGGGAAAGCAGTGGGAGGGAGACCCAGGTCCTTGATGCGGATGAGGTCAGTGGGCCGTGAGGAGCGGGTGCAGAGGGGGTCTACGCCCATGTCCCAGAGGCCAGGAGAGGGGAGGGGCGGAGTTGCTGACGGAGACACTGCCGGTGCACTGGGGGGGAGTGCTCCCCGTGGCTGGTGGAAGGGGCCAGAGACTGGCCAGGGAACCTAGGAGCCGGCGCTCTGGGCACAGCCTCCAGCCTCCACCCTTCCCAGGCCTCTACCTCAGTCGAGCCCTCAGGTGGCGGTGGAGGCTGCCAGGCAGGGCTCTTTCCCAAGGACAAGGAGGGCACTCACCTTGTCAAAGAGGCCGTACTCGCAGATGAGCTGCTCTCGGGCCTTGGTGTTGATGGCGATGGTGAATCGCACGTGCGCCACCAGCAGCTGGGGGTGGGGGGAGGAGGAGGAGGCTTCAGAGAGGGCCTGGCCAGGGCCTCCGGACCGGGTGCCCCTGGGACCCCAGCAGGCTCTCCCCAGCCCACCATGCAGGGGATGCTGGATGCAGCGGGGAGTGAGGTTGGGGTGCTGATCTTCCTGCCGAGTGGCTGCTGGGGGCCTGGCACAGCTCTGATGCTAACAGTCGAGAGGATGCTGCTAAAAACAGGAAGTCAGCACTGGTGTAGGGAGTAACTACAGTCCCAGGCACGGTTTTGAGCTATCTGAGTTTATGAACTGTGCTAATCCAGACCATCGTCCGACGAGGCAGGTGTACTAGTTTGATCTGTTTCACTGATGAGGAGAATGAGGCGCATGGAGGTATTTTAGCCTGCAGTACCCCAGCAGTCAGTGCTGGTAGGATTCCGGAAGAGAGAAGGAGAGTGACAGCAGGGGTGGCCGCCAGGATCAGCCAAGGATCCCACGGAACTCATTTGCGTTTTCAAATCCCGCTCCCTAGCCAGCCGGGCGCCCATGCCAGGTCCGGCCCAGCAGCGCAGCAGCGCACCCTGGGGAACAGCAGGCTCCCAGCTGCTTTCTTCGTGTGGGGCGTTACTGGCTCCTGGAACGTCGCTCCTGGGGGCCCCCTCTGCTGCCCACTCCTAGCCACAGTCCCCGGTGGGAATGTCAGCCCCCTGCCGCCTTCATATCCTGGAGGCCCTCCCCTCCTGGGGGAAGCAGGAGCTGCGGTACCTTGAACATGGGGTGCACGGCAGGCAGCTGGCGGTACAAGGCGATGCCAAAAACTTCGGACACCAGATGTGTGCGCAGAAGGTGTGTGATGGTCTGGTGGACGTGAAAGTCACTGGAACGCACCCAGATTTTGGCCAAAAGCCAGTCGTATTTTGCATCCGAAGGGAGAAAAATGGGGTTCTCCTCTCCTGGTGTTTGGTTGAGCTGGAATGTTGGAGACAGAAAACACATTGCTGTATTTTGCTCCGGACTATAGCTGTTGGAGAACCTGGCCTCTCAGGAAATTCTAGAAGAATCCAAATTTCTTAACCAGTGACTTTTGAATCGTGAGAAGAGTCTGGAGGGGGGCAGAGGGCCCAGGGGTGTATTTCCTGTCCCAGTGACGTCACTTATGGTCTGCACGACCCCGGAGGACACACTGAGCCTTTCCGGGCTCCAGCTTCGCCGCCTGTGGGGACAAGAATTTCTCAGCTCTCAGGGTCACTGGGTGCGCCCATCTTCTCCTGGTGCCCTCAGTTAGCTCCTCCCGCTCGCGGGCTCGGGCCCTGAGGCTGCTGAGACCCCAGGGCGGGGGCCGGGGCTCGAGCTCTGCCCTGAGCCCAGACAGGCGGCGCAGGAGGCCGAACCGCTCGCCCCTTCCAGTTCAACTCCACCCTGAGGCAAAGGTGATTTTTTTTCTAAAATGCAAATAAATCACGTGAATCGCCTTTTTAAAAGCCACTCAGAAAGTCACTTCTTAATGCCAGAAAATAAAGCCCCCAAACTCCGTGGGGCCCTGGCCGTCGCGGCCCCTGCAAACGCAGCGCCACGTTCCCACCTCCGGCACCCAGCGCCGGCCCGCGCCCTCCTGCGAGCCTGCAGCCCTTCTGTCACGCGAGGACGCGGGGGCCTGGAGGGTCGACAGCAAGGACGCGCCAGAGGAGCACCCGGCGGCGGCAGGTCGGCCGCACAGCTCCGCCCAGAGCGCACGGCCAAGTCACTTATTGGGTTGGGTAAGTGCTGGGGAAGGTGATGTCCTTGTCCCCCTGGAAAACAGCGCTGTCCAATAGAAACGTAATGCCAGCCACAGGGAATTTTACATTCGCAGGAAGCTACATTAATAAAAGGAAAAGGAAACAGGTGAAATTTAGACTAATCATAGAATTTTATTTTACCCAGTGTATTCAAAATATTATCACTTCAACATGAGACCAGTCTAAAGCTATTAAGTGAGATAGTTTGCATTTCCTCCCTCATTCTGAGTCCTGGAAGGCAGGGGTGTACTTTGCACTGCGGCAGGTCTGGGTTTGGAAGAGCTCCCTCTCCAGTGCTCCAGAGCCGGGAGGCGGCCCCAGCGCTCCCCAAGACCCAGACGGGGCAGGGGGCGAGAGCAGAGTGACCTGCATGCTCTTCCTGCTTGCTTGTTGCCACGGGAATGGCTGGCTGTGGTGCGCTGTGCCCTTTCGTTTTACGTCTCCCGTGTCTGCCTTGCTTTTCGGCTTTAGCTCACCGCGGACGCCCCTCCAGGTCAGCTGGGATGGGTCGATCGCATTTGTTTTAACAATTTCATGGTCTGCACGTGGAAGGTTTTAATCAACCCTCTCCTGCCTTCAGATCGTTCTGTTTGTTTGTTTCCCCACACGCAATGCCGGGGTGATCATCCTCCGCCACCCACCCGCACGTTGGTGCTTTTGTTTCTGCTGCCTGGTGGCTTAGGGAAGCCACTGCTGAGCCCCCGGGCCTGGGCATGACAGTGCCGTCCCTATTGCTCCAGAAAGGTTCATTTTGCCCACACACACCTGGTCAGCGGCACAGGTTGTCAGGACACTTAGCAGGTAAGCAGTCTGGGCCCGCAGCCCCCCTGCCCAGTGCCCCTCCAATTGCCCTGGCCATGCCAGCCCTGACTCCAGGATCCTCTGACCTGCCTGCTCTGAAATATGGAACCTCGAGAGGCACACCTGGCACACAGGTGTCAGCGCAGGCCCTGACCTCGGGCTGCCCGGGCCTGCCCAGTTCCGACCCTGTGAACACTACCGGGCGGTAACAACTCCTAAGCAGTACAGGGGGCAGCGGTTGGCGGTTACTATTATTACTTTTTTGCTAACACGATGGGTCACAAATCTCATTAACTTGAATTTGCATTCCCTAACTATGGTGAAGTTGAGAATCCTTGCATACACTAATTGTCATTTACATTTCCTAATCTGTGACTTGCCCATCGTATTCTCTGCCCATTTTTCTACTGGGGTTTTTGTCTTTTCCTTATCGATCCGAACGCGCTATTTGCATATCATAGATATGCATCCTATAGCTGTCACCTGTGTTGCAGTTATTTCCTCCGATCTATTTTTGCCTTTTGGCTTTGTTTACGGTATATTTTACCGTTCAGTTTTAAAAACATTATGTAATCAAGTATGCCTATCTTTTCCCTTATAATTTCTTGGTTTCCTGTTTTTACTTTTAAAAGCCTGCATATTATCCATTGTCCTCCTAAACTCTTTTACTTTTTCTATTTTAATCTTCACTTCATCTGAAATTTATTTTGATAAATGTTGTGACTGAGGGGTCCAGTTTAATGTTTTTTCTTATGCAAAGACAGTGTGACAGCACCATTGGTACCCCACCCCACCCCCACGTTGTCATCCGTTAGCTTCCTCTGTAGGAGTCCTGTTTCTAGATGTCTCCTTTACACTCTTGCCCCAGTCTGGCCGTTCTCATGCGGAGCATCTGCTTT